GAGAGAGACTCCGCTGCGTCTAGCGGGACGACGGCGCGCACAATGGGATGACAGAGAGGGCGAGGCCACACGGAGGAAGGAAAAAGGTAAGGAGAGGGCATGCCCAGCCGGCGCAGGGCGTAAAAAATGTGGCGGAAATGACATCATGGCGACCATATCCAGTAGGCACAATGGCGGCGTTGTTATGGTTACGTGTTGCGGTGTGAAGCTGGTCTAGCAGTGAGCGGCCGCGGCTGGCGGCGGAATGTGTGCCTCCCCAGGTCTCGTGCTGAACCGTGGCGGACAATATCTGTGCTCTGCGCCGCGTTATTGGTTACGCAGTGTTCGTAACCAATTGTTGTAAACAAGAGAGGAGAAATTGCCTACTCAATATGGCCGACTTCCGGCTTCATCGCGGCTTCACAACGAGTGACGTCAGGGCCTCTCCTTACCTTTTCCCTCCTCCGTGGCGAGGCCATATGCTAAAGTGTTTCGTCGGTGTTACAGTAAGCGAGCATCCGTGCGTGCGCTTTTTTTTTTATTCGTCTGACAATGGTCGGGCGCACGCCGACACATTTAGGAGGAAACTCATTACGGAAGACGCACCTGCACTCCGCCATTTTCCAGCCTCCCCTCCGCAAACTCAAGTCTCACAAATCAGACCATGGCGGCCATCTTGTTTTTCATTAAATATGGGTTTCATTTTTATTTACGTAAGAATGAAAACATGTTTTGGAATAGAATTAGAAGAAAACGAGCATGGGTCCCGAGCTCAAGTAAGTGCATTGTTCTATCCAGTCATCTTCGAAGCGGTCGAGTGACTTTCGCGATTCCCTTATTTTCGCACAGCTGAGGAGTATCGAACGCAGGCACACACTCAAAAATAATCAGCCTTTAATAAAAAAATGTTGCATGCGCTATACTGAACAAGCTATTCCGAATAATGTGAAAGAAAAAAAAATCGCAGCATATCCACGCAATGAATGATGATGAGTGGGGCGAAGCGTCCGTCAGTCCGTCCGCGCTTTCGTCCGTCCGTCCGTGCGTCAGACAGACAGGACTGACGGACGCGGTCAGCGGATGATTCACAGTTTGGCGATAAAAACCAGCCGAAGCTTCGCCTCACTCATCATCATTCACTCCGTGGATATGCTGTGAGGTGGATACATACATGTATGTACATACAGGTGACGACCAACCAACGCCTTAAGGAGCTTCGCCCTTAAAAAAGTCGCTGGATTTTAATTCACACAAGTTAAACCAGCGCTTCCTCTGGTTAAACTCGCTGAGAGGAACTAGCATTCGCACGAATGTCATCACACCACGCTACGCCGCAGAAAATGCGCGGGAGACGAAGTTGTCAGCTGCGCTTGTAATAATTTCGGACTTCCTTTTTTTTTTTTTGTGCCCAAGTTTGTTGTATAGAATTTACCAGTCAATTGCCACTTGTTTTTTTTTTTCTATTTTTAGCGGGAGGGGACTCGTTTGCAATTTTCCAGCAAATAGAATTAGTTCATCAGAACGTTGATGTCAGACATACGTTGGTACAATCAACCTATAGCGGTAATCGTGCACGGGCAAACGTGCGTTCAATAGAACAGACTCTGGAGACAATTCATGTTTCAAGAGTAAATCGGTGGTTTCTTCTGTACCGCATATTTTTTGCACAAACCATACAGTGATTTTTCATCTCCATTTCGCGTATGATTTTACATTTTTTTTTAAATAATAATTAAACATATATCGAAGAATGCGAGAGTTCTTGAATATCCGGTTCTTTTGGGCTTCTTCACGAATGTCAAGCCTTTTTTTTTTGGGGGGGGGGGGGGGAGATTTCACGGTGATAATTTGCTTGTTATCTGAGCAGCATCTGGTGAACTCTGTTTGAGCAGATCCTAAAAAAAAAAGAATAAAAATACCAAGGGCAGATGAAGTCACAATTTTGTCCCGATGTTTTCATGCAGCATTTAAATGTCGAGCTGGCGTGGATGTATAAAAAAAAACTATATTCGCACGACTTTTTTTTTTTTTTGGCGCACACAGATACGTTACCGTAGTAACGTGACTACCGTGGCCAGATGTTCGCGCATAACTGTTTTTTTTTTCCACGTCGAGTCGCACCTGGGCTCTTGCTAGACTATCAGACGGCGACCGAAGTCACACACACGCACAAAAAAAAAAAACATACGCGCGCGATACACACGTTTACACGCAAGCTGTCTCGAAAAAAAAAACGAAGAAAAAAACATCCATTTAGGATTTATGCACTTCAGACGCAAATCTTAACTCACCGTGTACGTATACCTTTGGAAAATTTATACACGAATTCTTTCCAAGCACTCGATATTCCATCGCAATTCAATGTGGCAAAAGTGCTCGTTTGTGCGTTGTTTTTTTTTTCATTAATTATTTTCTACGTTAAATAACCCTATCGACAGTGGTGGCGTAAGCCAGCGGGTGACAAACCATGCCGCCCCTCCCCCAACCCCCCCCCTTTTTTTTATTGCCATGACATGCCCAGCACAAAATTTACATCTGCCTCCACGGCCCTTGCTTAAAACTCATGCAAGTTGACACCACCACCACCCCTACCCAAACAAAAAAAAAAAAATCTGCCATTCTGCCATGGTAGTCGATAGTTCTGGAGTCGTCCACAGCCGCAAATCTCATGATCATGTAGTGGTTTTGGACATTCAGGCGAGATGCGAGTCGATAAACCATTTTTTTCTCTTGTAAATTACATATGTTGTTGTTCTTCTTTGATTTCACAAGTATAGTTTCCCTATTTGAACAACAACAATAAACGAAACTTAAGATTGTAATTAAACTCGACGTTAGGTTAAATTGCTTTTGAAGATCACAAGGTGGCTACTCAAAACAAAACAAAAAAAGACCTCATTCGTTGTCTAGAGTCCCCTGGAAATGCTCACCTGGCTGCTTGCCATTGCATTTCACATGAGAAGTTGACTGAAGCCGCATATGCTCAAAATAAGAATGATTGCCAAGCTCTCGTTAACGAAGGAAACATTTTTTTTAGAAACACCTCTTTACCGCATAAATGAGCTTTCACTTATAATTCTAAAATGCTTGTTCACCAGATCAATTTCTGGGCAACTTCTTCAGTTTAGACATCATCTCTTGGTACTTCTGATAGCCAGATCGGGATGAAATATTGTCCACATATTCCTTAAATTGGGAAGGGTGCCAGTATCGTTTTAAAGCTTTATATCGCCTGTATATTTATTAAGAACCTAAAGCAAACAATTACTACGGCTGAGGATTCTAAGAATTTTCACATTGCAATTTTTGTTGCCCATTAAAATGTCTGCAATCTAGAATTAATCAGGAGCAATAAGGGCCATTAATGGCTCATAACTAGAAATTTTTAGCAGCATAAAAAGTTTGTACAAAACGAACTACACTTTACACATTCTCATGGCACAAAACGAAAACTGCGCAATCGATTATAAAATTCAATACATATTTGAACTTCAGCGTAAAAGGCTATATACACAACGAAAAATTTCATTGCTCTAGGTTACAGATTAACGGGACTTTTTTTCGGCTCGCATCTTCCCGTATACCCTATTAGTGAATAATAATAATAATAATAATAATAATAATAATAATAATAATAATAATAATAATAATAATAATAATAATAATAATAATAATAATAACCTGATGTTACCGCGGGCGTCCCAATATCATTGTATCAATTGAGAATTTATGGAAACTTGTGTTTCAATGACTACAGTTTATAAAAAAGTATTGAAGCGTAATATTAGTCACAAGTCAGTGGAACGTGTGAGAGGATTACTGTACTGGTGTAGGAGATGAAGTTGAGGTGATGAAGTGCTTAATAGGGGGCGAATAAGACGCGATGTACTTTCGTAATGCTGTACGGCTCGAGATAATATTCCGCGGAAGATTGTGTAATCAAAAGTGGCGACGTTGCGAACGGCTTTCTATTGCAATAATTAAAGTTTTGTGGCGTTTCGTTACGTAGGGGTCAACCATAACAAACCACAGTTAATATTTGACGCGAAGAGTGCATAAACAATTTGCATTTTTCACATGCAGTGAAGGAATAGCGCGACACCAGGACATAGCTTTTGTGCTCATCGAAAACTTTTCTTTTGTTTTCACAAATTGTCGATGTGAGTGTCCCATGAGAGATTCGACTTAAATGTAACGCCAAGAGTTTCACACTCGTTAACTTCACTCCGCCTAGTTATTTTTTGGCATGAAAAGAAAGTACATTTTAAAATGTGATTAGGATAAACGTTTTAGAAGGACGTGATCACATTTTGCCTCAAGAGCTTTGTCATCAGAGCTGAAGAGGCCGCACAGACAATAAATTTTGAGCTTGCATCAATACTGACTATATTGTTAATATACTTCAAACAAATGACGAGCCAATTTATACCTCGGGCGGTGCCCCATTTCATAAAAAGGGAGGATAAACGATTATTCCCAAATTCCGTTACACACTCAGTAACTCCTCTCCGTGACCGATGAGTTGTGAACGGAATAATTCGGGCTGCTTACCGTGAACCGATTGTAAATGTTTTGCAAATGAGTACACAGAGGAATTCGTGCTCCTATGCCGCTTCAGAGCTAACAATCGTTTGGGCCGCGCCAAACAGTCACAGAGGTCCCTCGTAGTCGACGCCACGGTAGTACACCGGAACAAACGTTTGTAAAACGTTGGGCTGGCGCTGGTGCTGCGCGCCGATGACCTCGCAGCTGAATGCAGCGCCGCCGCATACGGCTCGTTCGAAACCACGTTTACCGACCACGGTCAGCAAATATATTTCGCTTTAAAGCGTCGCCTCGCGTAACTGTAGAAGATCTGACATAAAGGTCGCCTTCCGCATACACCGTACAAACCTCCAGCGACATTCCCGCTTGTTTATATTAAACTACAAGACGTTATTCTCGTTTCTAAAGTCGCCCTTTCCCGGCTACATTTGTGTGGTTGACTGGGATGGAGTGTCACCGAGCGACGAATGACTGGCATCGCTTCTCGGCCTCTTAACGGCTAAGATCAACGTGTAGTATCTGTTCTTATCAGCTTAATATCTGATACGGTCCGATCAGGACCTATGATATTAACCTTATTTTTGTGAGGAGGCGCCAGGGCGGAGCTTGCTCCTCCGGCGCCAAGGGTCGTCCCGGCCTTGCACTACCGCCGGGTTCGGCCCACAACAATCAATGCAACATCAGAATTGCAAAACTTGCTCGGTGTTTCCTTAATTAATTACTTATACTAGGATAGACTTGGGACATATACAGCGGCCATATAATATACCAGATTTTTTTAATACTGATTTTTTTTTTCTTAAAAAGCTATAACACTTGTCACCGCAGCCAATTTCTAGGCCGAGGCAGAAAGATCTGCCACTATTCAGATCACTTACGTAAGAGTGACTGATAAAAATATTTGAATTAACTTTTTATTAATTTTAGCGTGGTTGTTTTGTATGGCGGAGTTGTTCTGTCACAAATTATGGCGACCATAGTTTTTTATTTTAAAAATGGGAAAATATTACGCGTCGTTTCAGAGATCCATCGTCGAATTTCCAGACCACGGTTCCCGGTCTAACACTAACAACTAACGGTTAGTTCCGGCGCAATACCAAGGCGGGGGTCCCAACGGGATGAGGACTGTGGGGGAAGAGGGGAGTCTCAATATGCATAGTCTGTGCGGGCACTCGGAAGCTGCACGTAACACCAAACCAGGTAAGCTTGATTAATGGCTAGCGCGCTCGCCCGAAACATCAGTGGTGTGTGGAGTTAATCAAGCAGGATTGCGTAACGTGGGCCAATCGCACATGGCTGAGGCGTCTTTCCGGACCTGTCGGTAGTTTAATCGTCCAACAGATGCGGTGCCACAATTTTTTTTTTTCGGGGTAGGAGGGGTTTGATCGTAATTTATGTATGTATGTACGCATGTATGCGTGTACGTATTTATGCGTGTACGCATGTATGCATGTACGTATCTGCCACTGTAAAACCATGTATGTATGTATGTATGTATGTATGTATGTATGTATGTATGTATGTATGTATGTATGTATGTATGTATGTATGTGTGTATGTATGTGTGCATGTATGTATGCATGTATGTATGTACGCGTACTACATGTGTGCGTTTGTGTGTGCGCGTATGTATAAATGCAAGCAAGATTGACTAAAAAAATTTCGGAAAGGTTTGACCACCCCCCTACATCCTGGCTACGCCACTGTCGACAAAATATCGATTTGGTATATTTTATATATATACCGTCTGCATAAAAAAAGACCTTGTCGTTTCTTCATTTTAACGCTGTAATCGATAAATATGTAGAAACTAAAAAAAATGCCACGAAAAAAAAAAATGCCCTGACGATCAACAGAACAAAAATTTCTCATCATCGTAATTTTCAGCGTATTTAATGAGTAACAGGCCTCCCCGCATGATCTTTAAAATAATAATTGGCGGGGTTTGTGTTAGGCTCCGCAAATTTCGACCACCTGGAAGTTCTTCAACGTGCCTCGAACCTCGAACATCTCCACTTCCACCACAAAATGCAGCCGAATGCAGTGTTCAACTGACCGTTCAATTTACCTATCTTGTTGATTGATTGATTGATTGATTGATATGTGGGGTTTCACGTCCCAAAACCACCACATGATTATGACAGACGCCGTAGTGGAGGGCTCCGGAAATTTCGACCACATGGGGTTCTTTAACGTGCGCCCAAATCTGAGCACACGGGCCTACAACATTTCCGCCTCCACCGGAAATGCAGCCGGGATTCGATCCCGCGACCTGCGGGTCAGCAACCGAGTACCTTAGCCACTAGACCACCGCGGCGGGGAGGGGCATAGAAAAAGTGGTTAACGATTTAAAGTACTCGGTACTTTACTATGGGAGAGCACAAAGCCTTCCCACGTATTTTACACTTGATGAGGCCTTCATTGGGTACGACACCGCCAGTGCATGTGTGCTTAGAAAAATTTGTTAACGATTCGGAGTACTTGGTACTCTACTATGGGAGAGCTCAAAGCCGTCCCGTGGGTAAAATATCAGCTTATGTTATTGTTAAAAACGCCAATGAAAGCAAGTTGCACTAGCAAGCCTATAAAGAAATGCGGCCCTCAGTGATGCCCTGGTCACACGCGCATTTGCACGCGCTATTTCTTAATTTTGGGTGTTTTTTTTTTCATAGTGAAATTATCAGCGATCAGCTGCTTTCGGTGTGGCGATGTGATCTTTTTATCTAAGTCGTATGTAGCTTTGCCTTGCCACGTTTCGTTTTTGCCTGATACTATCATATTACTGTCTTTGTTGCCTGCAGAAACTGAAGTGTGCGCTGTTAATAACGTGAATGGAGGTTCGATTCGCGGCACCAGGGAAGGAAGGAAGGAAGGAAGGAAGGAAGGAAGGAAGGAAGGAAGGAAGGAAGGAAGGAAGGAAGGAAGGAAGGAAGGAAGGAAGGAAGGAAGGAAGGAAGGAAGGAAGGAAGGAAGAGATGGAAGGATTGGTTGATATGTGGGGTTTAACGTCCCAAAACCACGCTATGATTATGATAGACGCCGTAGTGGAGGGCTCCGGAAATTTCGACCACCTGGGGTTCTTTAACGTGCACCCAAATCTGAGCACACGGGCGTACAACATACCTAACCTTGTGAAGTCTGAATCCATTTTTACATAGCGCGTTGAAGCGCGTCATCATCTTCAAAAATATCGCTAAAGATTGTAATCTCTCTCTTTCTTTTTTTTTGTTAATGGAGCAGCCGGCTTCTATTGCACGGTTTTCATTTGCTATTGTAAGGTTACCAGTCATTATACCATAATCCATGATTCATAACCAAATAAACTTCTTTTCTTGCGTTAATCGATATTACATACGAGTTCTTTTCGACACTTAGCTTAATTTTTATGATTATTATAAGCATGTTCAACAGAACAGCATCATTTTTATTCACTTTGCATTAAAGCATAAACCTCATGCTGCACTTTTTTTGTTTTTGTTTTCATTTGCAGCTGTATTCGATCTAAGCACCCAAAATTACAATTCTAATTCGTAAGTGTTCTAAACTTTTAGATTTAGCCGAATTTCACACATTAATGATATACTCCTGTTTTCCCACGTTTTTATCTACGCACATTATTTTCGCTAATTCTGACGCGCTGATTATAATTAGCACTAGTTATCATCAGGAGCAGTACTCCCCAATGACAGGCCTATCTAGCTGTCCAAAGCAACTGCTGAGCATATTCAAATGTACCGAACAGATAATCACAATTGGAAGCAGTGGGAACATTCATTGCTGATCTTTAACTGCAGAGTAGTAACTATCACACCAACTGAAATTGGTTCGAGTGGACGGAAAATCGCCCTGCCTGTCCGGCGATATCATTATGAGCGACGCCGAAGTTGTGGGCTCCGGTAATTTCGACAATCCGGTGTCCTTTAAAGTGCCCTACATCTAGTACACGGGCCTCTATTAGCATTTCGCTTTACATCGTTCTGCGAGTAAAAGCAAGAAAAAAAAAAAAGTCATGACAAAGCGCCCCATATCCTCCGGTGTTACTTTAGGATACCCCCCCCCCCCCCCCTCAAATGAGTGGCTGGATCCGCCCGTAGATCCGAACTCACAACCTTCGAGTTACACCGTAGAGGTAATTGAAATCCCGGCGTTCGGTCGTAACATCCCTGGGCCTTCCGTAGTTCGGGTTTTCCGCAGAAGACAGGGATTAATATACGTTGTACATACACGCCTACTTTATTAGATGTTATACACTATGCTTGCCACAAGAACCTCTAGCGTGCTTGGCAAATTGCCTTCCGGCTTCTTCGATAAGTGCGTTACGCCGCCGATACCGGCGAGTCCTAAGCAGAAGATTGAAAGTAAAAAAAAAAAATAAAAGCCTGTTATCAGCGACGATTACAAAGGCTGACGGCACCGCAACCGGACTTCCGCGTACGCTAGCGGAAATTATGTCTAGCGTGCCAGTCACAGGAAGCGGGTACTTGCGTGACGTTTCGAATAATGCCGCACGGAAAATTCAAACGAGGCAGAAACCCAGGAGAATACGAAAATGCTTGAACAGATGAAATAAATCTTGAACCCTGCCGGCAGAAGTGGCATTATTTCCTCCACCACTTAATTTCGTTGCAATTTACGTGATAATTTGCATACTGCAGTTAAAAGACAACGATTAATGTGACCCAAGCCCTTCTTGACATAACTCTGTTGGATTTTTGGGTTGCGTACAACGACGACGACAACAACAACAACAACAACGCGCCCATAAAGAAAATAAAGCCATCTTATTTTATTAGACAAAAGAACTGTGACAGTTACAGGGTTCACTCTTCGGTTCTTTGGGGGTTTCTCTGAAACCGAATGAAGATCCGCGCACCTTATGCTCGAGCTACAGCTACTGTCAAAAAGCTACTGTCACGCATCGCAAGACAAGATATCGCTGTATATCTCTGCTGCCAGGGCGGCATAGCCTGCAATTGTTTTTTTTTTTTAATATGTTCTAAAGTATTGACTGATGTCCATGCAGTTTTGGCCGAAACAGAGTCACAGATACCTGGGAAATTCGAAGTTTTTATAGAGAGCCACAGTATAGACTCATTTAACTTCTCACGCCGACTGCATATCCCGTAACGCTGCAATTGTGCGCGAACAAAACAGTACCGACACGAAGGTCAGTTAGCGTGGCGCCGTAAGTTTTTGGTGCATTGAATGAATTCATAATACCGATCATAACACAGGCATCCCCAGAAACCAAGAGGCTTGATTTGCATAGTTTGCATAGCTTCGAATGATAGTCCAGTGAATCTGCTTCCCGCGAACCCGGATCAGAAAGTACACCCCACCTTCGCTACTGTGTCGCGGACGACCATCGAAGAACACATGCACGGATTAATCACGCTCGTTGACAGCTGACAAAAACGCGATGCATGCAGACGACGCAGCCTTTTAAATCGCAGCGTATGGGGCGCAGTGCACTAGCGTACGAGCTCACGCACGACTCAATTAAAGCAAGCGGCGCTCAGTAAACAAGACACAGGTATCGCTGTCTCGTTCGTCTATGTGGAACTACACGAATTCGAAACTGGCGTCATAAACTTGCCTTGGTTGACGAAGAAGCCGATGTACGCCACGAACACAACGGCGCTCAGGCGAGTCGGAAAGAGCTCGCCCCAAAAGCGCTGCTTCGCCGCCGAGTCCATGCTTCGTAGTCCGTGCTCGGCACTTCGTCGCCAATGCTGAAACAGCGGAAACACACGCACACGGGCGAAGCTGGCTCGTTGGCGTCGCCGCTTGAGTGCCGCGAAGTCTGATCACGCCGCGAAATACGAGCAGAAGCGCACAGCCCACAGTTTGCCCATCACAACCGTTCCCATTGAATCTGCACCATAGAGAAATAAGAAAGGAAAGGTGAGCTGCACGCTCGTTTCGCTCCGCCCTTACCTTCTTTCTCTTTGCTAGGGTAGTTATGAAATACGGTTAGTAGTGAAACTCCTACCAACTTCCTTGTTGTGTATTTCAAATTACTTTGAGGCATATAGGTGGATAAATGAATGCTATATGCTTTAAGATGTTGCGCCTTCTGGCGCATTTTTTTTTTTCAGTTAACTTCAAAGGCTACGTTTTTACATAACGCAACCACAAAAGTTTAATTGAGTATTTAGAAATAATTATTGCCACTTATTTAGGACATGACTTACGATGTTGTTTTTTGTGCATTACTTTGAAAAGTTTAAATTAAAATTTTGATACAACAATGCATTTTATCATTTTATCTTCTTATAAAAACGTCAGAAATTTTTGTTTGTATTTTTAAAACTGAAACCAAAATTTTTGTCAGTTTCACAAAAATGCTTTGCAATAGATTTACTAAACAATACATAAAACACGTGTGTCAGTCACATGCCTGTCCTAAATTTTAAGACTGAGGTAAACTTAGTATTTAATAAATTAACCCAAAAATTTTGTTGCTCTGAAAATTAAGAAACTGTAAAAGTGCAACAACTATTAAGTCAATTATTTATCACGGAGGCAATGCAAATATTTCGTTAGTTTGCATGTGCGCCACTTATGAATATATTGATGCATGGTGAAGGAAGGCTTAGTGGTTATCCAATTGTAGAGCTTTTTTACACAACGACCACCACCACCTTCAGGAAGATGCCTGCGACTTCAGCTGAAGAGCTGGTTCCCGGTCCTCTCTTGGAAAGGTTTTGAGAAACTTTATGCTCTCTTGTTCTGTCCTCCTTCGCTCCCCCGAACAGTGTTGGCTGCGAGCGCTCACAGCGGCGGCCACTTTAAATCTTACCGCCGCTGAGATCAAAGCAATCATAGAGCTAATACACTGACTCTAGCGGAAAAGCGAGGCCGAAAAAAAAAAGAGTTGTAGAGTTGTTATACAAACTAGTATATTAAATCTATGGGAAAAGTTACAACCACATTGACGCTGACATCTTGAAACTTTGTCATTGTTGCCATCGCAATAAAAAAGCGCTAAATATAAACGTTTAATACACTCATGTTTTTGCAATACAATTAAAAAGAAGCATTTTCACAAATTACCAACAAATAAGCTGTATAAAATTTATTTTAAATACTTTAAAAAAGATATTACAGTCATTTATTTAATTTATTGATCGCATAAAAAAAAGCACTTTTAGTTTTCTTTTAGTAGATGGCGCCACCATTCTTGTAACGTTGAGAGAGTGGCGATGCAGCGTGTTTTTAGTACGCTGTAGCAGCGCGCAGCCGGTCGCGCCGACTTGCTTACGCGTTGGATGAGTCGGCGTCCGTGTTTTTTTGTTGCCGAGAGCCAAAAACTCGACTTCATGTGACAGTTTTTTAGTGCGATGTAACAGAGATTCACGAAAGAGAAAAAATGTTGAGTGTAGTCGTGACAGTGAGTGAACGTCAACCAGAAACTGAGTATAGTTCTATCATGGCGGCACCGAAGTAGGGAGCCTACATACGCCGCGCCGCGCAGGCTCCCTACACCGAAGTGCTTTTAAGTTTTTTTTTTTTTTCATAGGGTCAATATACAGACTCAGTCACTATACTAACTCTATGGTTTTAATGCATGGGTCCAATGGGGGCTATAAAGTTTAGAGTTACTATACTGGCTCTGTATATTAACTCTGTGCTTTATAAGTTTGTAAATTAACTTTATGCAACGCCTGAAAACAAAAACAGCTGGCAAATCCTTTCTCTCCTTCATTTTTGATTACTGTCAGTTTTTAGCGTCACCATTGGCGGACGGTGTGACAACTCGACATTTTGCATAGCCTCTGAAATAGTCTTCACACCTTGAATAACTCTCGACGGACGCGCCCCTAGAGGCCACAAATAAAAAACACCATGATAATGAATAAATGGGCTGATGTGACTGTACTCTTTGAATTGGGCGGCGGCTAGCGCCACCTAGTCGCAATACTTAGTAATAATAATGTTAATCGCAAGTGCTACTGCGCGGCGCTTGCTCAAAACTGAAGGCAGGACTATGGTGGCTAGAATTAGAATGGTGGCCCAATTCTAGCCACCATAGCAGGACGACTCCGCTGGCTACACTGCCATTCGTCAAGCATCTTAATAAAGGAGACGTTGCTCTATGCTATGGGGAGCTTTCCTTCTAGAGTCTGTATACAACTCCATGAGAGCAATGTCTACTGCAGTCTCAGAGGCAACACCATTGTGTGATTGTGATGGCGTCACTTCTAAATCAAGCGAAAGTAGTTGGATAGATAATTATCACTGTACCCTCTAAATTATACGATGGCTAACGCCACCTAGCCATAGTGTTAGAGTTACTGTATATGCTATACAGTAGGTAACATATACAGTGACTCTACGTAGTCTCAGCTGTGAGCGCTTCTTGCGGAGAAAGCACTGAACTACGAGGAACCTCTCGTCGAACCTCCCGTCCTCAGAGGGAAAAGTGCGACATCGCAGGCATCTTTCTAGAGGAGGCATTGGTCTACCGATAAAAGCCATGCTTGTTTTGTACCAATTCAATCTAATCCAATCTATGCCAAATGTTTTAATCCCAGCCTCCTAGATTTCTTTTGCCTGCCGGATTATCGGCGGTCTCTTGGGAAGCGGCCGTCGTCGGAACTGTGGTGGTGGCACGACTTAAGTAGAGTTGTCTACGAATAAATTTTTACGTTTCTGGAGCTTATTTGGAACAAAACTAACGTAACAAAGTTTTAGAAAGGCGTAAACGTAATTATAAATATTTATAATTAGCCCTACGTAAGTGCTGCCGTCGTAGATGACGGGCGTTTTGTGCTCATTCAACAGGCAACCGTTTCAATGGAAGGCAAAGCCTCTGAAATTCGCAAACGCCAAAGTGGCCAATCTCAAAGGCGAAGCACAAAGTCCCTTAATCTTGCGTAGATGGCGCTGCCATAGATGACGGGCGTTTCGCGCTCATCCGGCAGGCAAGAAAAATATAGAAGGCTATGGTTTTAATAAACATGGCGCTTCATTGCCCTCGATGCGCGCTGCATACGCAGTGTCCGCAATATCTGTAGTACAAAGTCTGTACGGACCGTTTGATTGGTAGGCTTGGTTGCAGTGTAGCTTGGTGGTCGTTTCCGTAGCTTTTCAGTTAAAGCGATTAGTTTTCTGCGGCGAAATCCGGCATGGATTACGATTATCAAGTTTGCGAGGACTCGGACAGCGAAGGCTACGACAGCAGTAGGTAAGCTGTAACGCTAGCGAGTAATCTTGATGTGAAAAGTGTGGTGTTTGTGTTCTTTTTTATTCAGTTCTGAAGACGCCTTCGAAGCCTACGTGCGTCAGAAGTATCTATCGCGGCCCGATGATGATGGAGACGACTTCGAGAAGGAGATGGAGAACGAGCTTTCGGCGACGTTTAAGCACTTCGAGCAACGACAGCTATTCGACGCCGGTTCTACAGACCCCGCGATCGGCGCTGGACCGGCCCGTCAACGACTTGCGGACAAAGGTAGGCGCATAGTCGAGTCGCTCGGTCAACGCCGATCCGCCTCGATGAGGAGCGAAGCTCCTTAGCATACACTCCGCTGTCGCTGTCGAAGCTTCCAAGCGCGCCGAGCAAAACAAGTGCACGCTCCCGCTAGCGCAGACGGCGGCAGATGGCTCGCGCTGAGCAGCGCGCGCCGCACGCTCACTCGCTCCTGCCACCGAGCGCAGCAGACGCTCTCCCCATCCGCTCTCCGCCCCATAGAGTTTCCTAAAATTAACTAGAGGGGACTCTGGCGCTGCGATCGTTCAGCGACCATGGGAATGATGGATAGTACACACCTTTGCCTAGTTTTCGTACTTGCAAGCGGCCAATCGTACTTGCGGCTTCGTTTAAGGCTGTTGTTTGGTTTTGTTTTGGAAAGATCCAACCCTTTTGAACTTTGTGACCCAATTTGGAAAGGCGAGTCTAAAAGAATAAGATGGTGAAGCGCAACCGCTGAATATTTGCTATTTGTTTCGTAACAAAACAGCTCCAAGCCACACGAACACACACGGAGCCAAAAGCAGGCCAGAAGTACGAATATTAGACAAATGTGTGTACTACCCATCATTCCTATGTTCGCTGAAGCGCCGTGCGTTGCAGCTCCCATAGACACTAGCGCTAGAGTTCTCTGTTATGTATATTAGAAAAATCTATGCTCCGCCCTACCGCCTTCATGAAAGACAGGCACGAGATCAGGCGCATAGTCGTTTGTGTCCCATTCTTAAGGAGCCTTGCTCACCAGTTCTGTTCGTTCACGGAACAACCGTTTATTTTCTTCACGATGCCACGGCGCACGCGCCTTTCCCCTAGCGAGAAAGTCACGAAGCGTGGGATCGCGGAGGCTTTCGTTGGCGATACAGGTTCTCCCGGCGCCTACCGAAACGATCTCAATATTGCAACTCAAGGAAATGTAAAAGGCGGGTCGACACCTTGCGAAACAGTTACTGTGCACGGAGCAATTTTGTTTTCCTCATAAACAGCCTTGACCACAGACTTGCAGGCAAACTTCGTTTTCATTTAACACTCATCCTGCTTTACCTCTCTTTGGCTTAACCACTTAGAGATCAGCACCGTAAAGCTTAGTACCAAACGTGGCATTCACACACTACTTATTGAGAAGTCTTTGTGATGCTCCCGCACTTCCCTGGAATATGGAAGGGTGGGTGCGTGAGAACGAGAAATGCGGTCTGGGAGCAAGAGGTGTCACGCGGAAAATATGTTTGAACAAATGTCACCTTATAGATTTTGCAACGTGTGCGCTTGGAGGCACTCAGTATTTTGCACGGTGTCTATTAGCAGCTTGTTTTTGTGAGATTAAATCCCTTTGTTGAATGGTTCCATAGATATGTGGGTCTCTGTTATGTTTTACCGAGAACTTTTACTGTGTTGTGAACAGGCACACACATACAAGTACTGGAGGACCTACCTGCTAGTAGCATGACCTGTCGATAACATTTGCGTGCTCATTTTGTTCAAATATTGTCATGTTAAGTTCATGTTGATCATACCTGAACTATGGTGCATACGTGACATAATGAGCTATAATTGGTGGTAACCTTTTAAAGCAAGGTAAAATTAAAATGTTCATGGTAAAACTAAAGGAACACAAAGCAGCTTTGTTTTTTTTTTTTTTTCAGCTACATAATGTGTGCATTTGTACCGGAAACACACGTGCGCTGTTGAATGTATAGTATCTTGGCATGGAAAAGCCTAAAAGTCTGTGTAAAGTGTGTTTCATGTCTAGGATTTCTATCAGCACTGCATTATTCACATTACATACTATGTATAGGTGTAATGCGCATTGTATGTCGTGAACTAGCTACACTTTTCTTCGGTACAAGGCATTGGTTACCAGATCACTTGCTAGTAGCATGTTCATCCATGCTTAAATACGCAATTTTCATTTGAACAGGACATGCTACCGTAAAACCTGTCCAGGCTGAAGGCGGCCTCCAAGATGTAAAGACAGTGACTTGTAAAACAGAAGACTCCAAGCAGCAGACTGCAACTGACAAAAAAGCAGCGGGTGCCGCAAAAGATCAGCAGACCGAGGTCAACAAAGCGGATGATTCTGTAGAGATGACTGCAGTAGACAACATACCATCTAAGCCTAAAGAAGGGAGCGACAAAAATGCTGAGAAGAGCGGTCCATCCAATGACGATCTCTTCTACGATCCAGAAATGGATGATGAAGACGAGAAGTGGGTGAACCAACAGCGGCGAAGCTGCATATTTCCCACCGAGTCCAAACAAGATAAGGACAGTGGTCAAGTCAAGCCGTTGCCGCTGAGTGATGCAGTCCTCAATTGCCCTGGCTGCATGACTCTTCTGTGCCTTGACTGTCAGCGGTAAGTCGTTTAAAGACGAAAGAGGGAAAAGTGAATGTAGTGCGCAGAGGAATGGCGAAGTTACAATACAGAAAACATGCTAAGTACAACAAAAGTAGCAGCAATACAGTTATCACACCAGCTTTTAGTGACATTTGTTGCCTTTAGAGTGTCATCATTCATCTAGTCACTGCATATGCTTAGTGCACTGTCTATGAGCAAAGCAGAGTGCTGTTTGTCTCTGAATTTGAGACTAGGTGTGGATAGTTTCAATGTTTTAGATGCGGAAGCATCTTATACTCGCGCCTTGTAGTGCGCCGTCCGCACCGCTTCTCGAACATTCGACAGCTGACGCGCGCGCATGCGCCGTCGCGCCGTCGCCCACCATCTGTGCCGCGCGCGCTTCTCCTTCGAGAACATTCGACAGCTGACAGCGCATGCGCCGTCGCGCCGTCGCCATCTGTGCCGCGCGCGCGCTTCTCCTTCGAGAACATTCAACAGCTGACAGTGCATGCGCCGTCGTGCTGTATATATACTCAAGGTCGGCGCTCGCTCGCTCAGTTGCCGCTCGTCGGTTGGTTTGTACGGCGCGTCGACGTCCAAGGTCGCGGTGAAATGAATTCCAACGAATCCACAAACACAATGATCGACGTCCCTTCGACCAGCGCCGTCCTTTCGCATACGTGTGTACGTGTTCACTCATTTAACACCCCCTCCTACAACTACGTTAACCAATTTAGCCATCGACCCAAGTAAGTCGCAATTTAACACCCCATTTCACAACCACGTTAACCAATTTAGCCATCGACCCAAGTAAGTCGCACTTTAACACCCCGTTAACCAATTATATGCTCCGCATCCTCCTCAGTGTTCCCCCGAGGGAAGCTGCGAGCAATTTTTTTTCATCCTCAAGTGGTTGAAGTACAGTAAAATACATAGAAAATTATGTCATCATGGTAGCATTGCTATTAGGGCATAAAATTTTAAAATATTGGAGTCTGGCATTAATAGTAATTAAGCTATTTTAGTTAACAAGCTACTTTGCCTCTTTGGGGTATGCACAAATGACCTTTGGAAAGTGCGCAGAAAATGTGCCTCTAAAAAATTTGTTTGCATACCCTTCAAATTCTAAGCACTTACAAAAGCAGTTGCAGTTAGTTCTCTAACACTGCCTTTGCAAAACTTGCATGTACCAAAATAACCATAGCCATGTCTTCAGCATAGAAACTACACCGAGACTGAAGATGGTTCCTTCACATGAAGTGTACGTGTGCGTAGCTTTGTTTTCGCTACTTGCGACTGTTGCCGACAAAAAAAGAGCAAATTCGACCCTGCTTTGTACTCGTTTTGTATTCGTTGCCATGTTCTGCATATCATTAAATATATTTGCTTTGGTAGATGCGCTATCCACATTTGGTGGATTGTTGGATGCGAAACGACTGGCCAATTCATCCTTCTCTGGTATCTTTTAATGCTTGCTTGTAATTTGTGCATGTACATTGTCAGTAATTCAGTTCTCATCAAGGAAGAATGCAAAATTAATGGCTGCATGATAAATATGCAATTATTTCACAATTATATTTTTCTAGAATGTCTACAAAACGAGATCCTACCATTTTATGTTACCTGCAACAGTGTATAACTCATAATAAATTTTTTGAAGTTTGATGTTTCAATCAACGATTCGTCATAATTCAGACTCGAAGGCAATGTAAAACTGCACATTCTATAATTCAAACAAGACATAATTTCAGGGAAACATAGGTTTAAAATGAGAAATCCTTCCACAGGGAATTTGATTAGAGCGAACGTTTTGACGAGTGGACTCATTGAAATGTCGGCTCTTAAAAACATTGCGTGTTCCAAAGATTTTTCATTGCACCAAGTCTATAAGCAGGATGTTCGAGCGTCTCATTGTCTGTTGTTTCAATCCCATCTTTTTCTGCTGTCATTCTTCTATGCAGTAATGTAGCAATTTGCCAATTAACCATTCTTACCATGTGTACGTGCGTGAATAACCTATTCTTACCATGTGTGAATACAATTAATCTATTTTTACTATGTGTACGTGCTAGAATACATGCAGGGTTTTTCGACTAACAGGCACCTAGTAAAAAACATACACACACACTGTGCAAGCATAACTGTCTCAGTATTGTTCCGAGCCATATGCAGCATGTCAGTAGTTTCCAGTCTGCCAAGTTAGGCAACGAACAAAATTTGCTTGGTTATGTTAATTAGTAGCACTAGTAAGAAATCTTGAGCTTAAAAGTTGTAGCATTTGTTATGAAATGTTGAAATACTTCATGATCTATGCTAACTGAAAACTATTCAATATAAGCTCTGTTACGCTTGTTCAGCAAAGTCAAATTTCTTCATTTCTGCTAACTGGTGGTTAATTTTTTTATCCAGTCAAGCGTGCACAAAGTTTCAGCAACATACGGGGCGTAAGTTATCTGGAACACCCTGTATATTGTCATTGTGCAGTATGTATCTGCAAGCTGTATACATTGTTTTCGTGCAGGCATGAAATCTACAACACCCAATACCGGGCCATGTTTGTGAAGAACTGTGTGGTCAACAAGAAAGAAACTCTCAGATGTCTGCCGTCGAGGTCATCAGTGCGCCGCCGAAACCTTCCCGAAGGTGCGAACGACCCACGCGACATCTTCAATCCCGTGCGCTGCGAAGTCTGCCGAACAGAGGTCGCCGTGTATGACAGCGAAGAGGTGTACCATTTCTTTAATGTCATTGCAAGCTTTTCATGAAGGAGAAAAATCCTGGTGCAGTGCGACTGCATCAAGGCATTGTACAGAGACTATTGTAAATAAAGGCTGACAAAATACTTTATGGGGCTTCGGCCACTTTGTACTCTGTTGATGTTGGAGCATGCAACTCTCAGTCTTCAAAGAACACAATTCAAATCCACTACATGCTGCATGTACTGATTGAAGAGCACTGCATCATGATAATGGTCACACAACCAGAACCCAAGTTCTGTAGAAGCAATCTGGGACGTTTTTTTTTTTTATCTGAAAATCAGTGAAGCATGTTCTGCATGAAACATGTTGTTCTGGAATCAAGACCACTGACAAGTGAGTGGGGTTTTTAATATTCCCCCACACCTTCAGAATACTGTATGCTCATTTATGCAGATATAATGCAACAACTTCTGCCCCAAAATTAAATACCTGATTTACTTTTGGTCAAGGCATTTCCATAAGGGGGGTTCGAAAAGGATACTAGTGTGGAGACATCTGGTTCATGTACTCCATTACAACCATCTTGATGCTTAGAGCAAACGTGAATGAGTGTGTGGCATTCCACTATGGTAGAGCCATTTGCAGTTATCACCGAATTTAGACCAAATAGTTGCTGTATACAACAATCTTATTAAAGAACTTCTCATCCTCTAGCTTCCTGCACGTACAATGCAAAAATTCAACCTTACAGATAAGTATATTCGAGTCGCCGATTTTAGTCCATAATAAAGCATTTTAATGGGCTGCATGAAGACTGATGTCACAACTTGGGCAATGATAATACCTTAGGCTGCAACCATAAGTCTTATTTTTCAATGATTTTAGAGCTTGTGTTGGAGCAAAGCAAACCCCGTGGTGAGTAGCCAGTAGTGGCCTTTGTTTTTTTAGAATGTCTCGGAGAAATGGCAAGCTCTGGCTTCGCATTTGCTGGCAAAAATATGGAGCACCATCACATTAAAAATTACACAGAAAAATGCGGCGGGTGCCTTCGGACAGCATTCTGTTTCTGCACCTAGCGACACTTGCTTATATTATTGCGATAGAAATTATGACACTCTCGGCCGGATTTTGCCGCCGGCGTTGGTGACCGCCGTCATTCACCGTATATGTACACATATCTAAATATATGAAAACGCAAGAAAAAAAATAATTCAGAAAAAGACTCCGGCGTACGGAATCGTATGTCTGACCTCTTGCTTGCGAGTGCGTAACATTAGCCACTGGGCCACAAAGGAGCACCTCTTTGAACGTTGAAACGGCACGCTATATCTACCACTTACCCCTAGCGATACCAATCTCCGGGGGAATTTATCGTGTTTTCAGCATTACCAGAGAGATGGCACAATGAGCGCGCGTCGCCAGATCGCCACGACGCGCGCCACAGCGTTAATCTCCCGCACGTACTTCGCCCCGCGGAAGAAACGCTCACGCGTGCTTACCTCGCCGTGGGGAGAATCGTACGTCTTGAGCTTTCGCCGGAACGATTATGTTGTAGTTCAGGGTGCACAAAGGTCACTGCACTGTCCCTGTTTGCAATGAGGGCGCCTTCTTCATCCACAGCGAAGTTCTAGGTAGCAGCAACAAGCCCTCAACTCAATATGCGCGAGTACTGGCTCGAGCTGAAACCACCGCGAACTCTCACGAGTGAAGGGCAGACGCGCCGACCGCAGGGTGGGCGGAACTGTTTTAGTTTTCGAATGGCATGCGCGAAGCTTCGAGCTTGTGGCTGCCGCTGCGCGGACAACGCCGGACGCCCGACTAAATCCATTCCCATGTAAAAGTACGGCTCTCAGTGCGTAACATGTTGCAGCTGCCGGTGGTGCAGAGCTGCTGCCACCCGCTTCAATCTTCTCTCTGCGGTGTGCGCATAAAAACTAAGCCGGGCGGGCGTGCAACAATGCGCCGCCACTCTTGCTGTGATGGAAGGCGGCAATCCGCAGCTCATCCTTGGCAGATCAGCTCCGAGCTGTCCACCAAGCCCGCGAGGCGGCTGAGGAGCTTGGCATCTCAAGTACCCAGTGCTACCCACGTGGGAGCTGCCCGCAACACAGTGATCTGTGTTTTGGAGGACCAAATAAAAGTTTATCCAATCCAATCCAATTGCTGTGCTACAGTGAAAAAAAAAAAAAAAGGCTACACACGCCAGCGCCGTTGCGGACGATGCTGTATTTCCTCAGGGCCGTTGTGTACAAGAGCCGCGTCGCTTCGTTGCGCCTAAGCAGATCAACTGACTGGACTACCGTGCTCCACAGTGCGATGCGCACAGCCCACACTGGGAAGTGTGCACACCAAGCACACGAACCTGTTTATCTACAGCGTTTACATTAAAAAAAAAATGGTTCAAGTTTGTTTGGCAGACATGATTAGCGTGCACTCATTGCGAATTGTACGGTTTTTGCAGTGTCCAGTGGCTGCTTGATCTCACGCTTGACAGGACAGAGGAAAAGCTAATGGCAAACTTGAAATTAGTAACAGGATGCAATCGTAGATCTTTATTGGTACTCGCCCAATATTCCCATGCTCCCAGTGAAACGAAAAGTCACTTCGCAGCTCTTGTAGCTTGCACACTTGTATCGCAACTTGAATCTATTGGTGTATAGCGATTCTCTCTATTTCCTGATATGAGACTGGACAACAAAGCCCAAACGCGCAGTGCCGCAGTCACCCTGCGATCAGGCTTCTGTGGCAGTCCACTAACATACAAGCACCTAATGTCAGATTTGTGTTGCATACAAGAACATATGTGCACCACTAGTGTGTATTGGCTGAGCTGTCGCATCTGTGTGCCAAAATGCTCCAAAAGTCTTAAGATAAATTGCTGCCATTATGACCAAGCTCCACCGGGCATTACAGCTGGGTAAACTCCATTTTACCTACATCTCAACAGATGAAATGCTGCACTGTGCCATCTTGGAGCATCACCAGAGCACTTCTAAATTACAGAATGTGTAGCTTGTCAATTATTTTCCATGGAGCAAAACTGCCCATGGTATATGCGAAGTGCTGAGCCAAAAGTTTTCATTCTTGTCGAATACAAGCTAGGCTGGTGGGTACCATAAAAAAATTGGCTGATAGTTCAACGTTGGCACCGCTCCATTACCTGTAGTCCTTGCAGTTAGAATACAGCTGCGGAATGTCGCTGTTTTGCGAGCCTAAGCTTTCGTCGCTTAGGCATCAGCTTCGACACGGCACTTTTGCAGGAGTTCCACAGTCTTTCTACTACACATGCAGCGCTTCTAACACCCTGGCCTTTCACTGGATCAAAGACTAGTATAAGCACACTAAAAGAGCCCACCCTATTTTCTCAGCCATAAATGCTTCACTCACTGTTAGACAAGACACTGAAATGGCTCGAGTATGCTGCTGCACAGTGAGCAGGTATTTTTGTAACCGAGGTTCAGGCGGATCAAGCGCAATTAAATTTCTTGAACAAATGCACACGAAAGCTGTCGGCAGATGCCAACTGGTATTTTCGTGCCTTTGCGAATTAGTATTACCGAGAGAGATGCTTGCGCAACAGTAATCTACAGTAGTCTTTTTCTACATTTACACATCTGCACCGCAACCAACAGCCGAGCTTGTCAAAAAGAAATTGCAGCATTCACACAACTTGACTGTCCAGTGAGCAATAAAACCCTCTACTTCCGAGCATCCATCCAAAACCACCCAAAAAAGGTGAAGCATTGTTTATTGAAAAACTCTTCCGCTCTCAGAGTACACCGCACTTTGCCAAGCCTTTTTTTTTTATTCGTTCCCCTTTTAACCTCACATTTAACGACCATCGCTTGAAATTACAATGCATCATATATCCTGTGGGTGTCCGCATTTTTAACGTATATATACTTTTATCTCGAAGTGCGCAATGTATAAGTTCATTCAGGAAAAAGGATAGGGTACGTGTTATCGGAGCACCAAGCACACGAACTAACCAAGGCGACTGGATATGAGAGATCTTCGAAGACTTTCGACAGAGGGCGCAGTTAACCAGGCAAGAGGAAAGAAAGGTAGAACATTTTAATGTGTTTGTGTTGGGTGAAAAAAATCTCTCGAAAATGGGACTTCGGAAATCGATGGAGTGAGAGAAAGGCCCCGGAAAAAGCGTTTCGAAATAAGGGAAGAGTTTTTTCCTTTAGTGTCTAGTTGACCTACTTAAAAGGTGGAAGCAGTTTTTTTTGCCGCGACGAGGCCTCCAAGGACAACTGGGAAAAAAAAGGAGAGACCCCACATTTTCATTCCACCACGCATGGACGAAGAGATGAAAACCTAAATGTCGAGAGGCCACACACAGTCGCCACACGCTTGGCAACGATATGCGCACAAGGCATGCGTCACTGCAGATATTTTTGAGAAGTGGAGCAGAAATTCCGGGACTTTGGCAACGACGCCACAGTCGGAAAATGTCTCCTGCTGGTACGTACTGGCATGGTTGGGGGTGGTAATGCCGTCAAAGCGACACCTGCCACAAGCAGTCCGCAAAATGCAAAACAAACCTGCGAAGAGGCAAGAACTCCACATCTGCGTAATAATGGCATCGTCATCGGTGCTGTGGGAGAAGGAATTATTGACTAAAAACTAATTCAGAAACTGTGAATCACAAGCAAACATGCACCCCGAGGGGAAAAAAGAATTGTGATGCAAACACCCCAGTTCTCCAACAACCTCAAAAAAAATCATGGAATGTCTTTTTTCTTGTCATAAGACCTCAGCCTACTCAATTCCCAAGTCACAAAAAAAGTGCATGAAACAGCAGAGCGAAAGGGGGTGAAGCAAGACAAACATGCTTGCCAAAAAAGAACTGCGCCCTATCTCAGACAGAAAAAAGGGGCAGCTAAACAGGTCTCATTTTATGGCTACCTGCTCTTGAAACAAAACAGCAGAAAAAAAAAAGGATGAGGGGAGAGGTATTAAATGCGACAGTATGTGAATTTGACAATAAATTAACACGTCTGGACAAACAGGTGATTAAACGCAGCAACACGACGACTACAAATGGGATTCTCAAGAATCGCGCGATCAGTGCCGGCCCTGGGAGACTGAAGATCTTGCCAAAGCAACTTCAGTACCCGCACAAACGATATCAGCACTGGTGTCCTGTTCTGGGTCTAACAGATTGGACGACGCAACACACTGAAGAAACAAAAAACAAAAATTAACTGAAACAACGCAAGAGTCTAATCAAGAAAAAACCTCGAAGGTGACATGAGAAGTGCACAAGAAATATTCGAGTCCTTTCAATAAGAGCTTGTACACCAAAACGCCACCCATGCCAAAAAATAAGTGTGCAAGAAACGGGAACATGCCTAACCAAGAAGGAAGCATGCAGTATAACACTTTATAGTTCATGGCGTCGAATGCCTTATAACCTCAAACTGGTGCCAACTTCAGCGAAAAAACTGCGCCACCTGCTCTTCGACCTCAACTGCATCCCTTTAACAACACACACAATCAGGCATCAGTCTTGGCACACACACACACACACATACACACACCTACGATGCCCAATGCGATTAAGTGGTGCAAGATGGACAAACAAAATTACTTTCTTCCTTCGCAAGGAAAAAGCAGGCATCATGCCAGAGGCGAAAGAGAGAGAGAGGCACGGTGCTTGTCGTGGGAAAGAGGGCAGAAATCACCGGGAGCTTCTCTCATAACTAAGAAAATTCTATACAAGCTAAGTGGGACCGATAAAGACCTGCTCAAAGGAAAAAGTCAAGGAATAAAGGAGTTTCAGCAACAATGAACGAACTGCGGAGGATCAGAAGTCTAGGCTCTGAATACCAATTCGAGCCTTCAGCAAACTCATCCCAAACCCAGCATCCTCGTGAAATCCCTAAGCAAGATCTCAAAAAAGGTTGGGCCGAGGGATAGGCACGGGGTGGGTTTTCAGAGGGGAGGGTCTTTAAACTTCACCACCTCACACCAGCAATCACAATTCTCTATAGTACATAATTTTTTTTTTCCCCTCAAGAGCCATAGATGTACAACCCACCACAGACGGCGAGAAAGAGAAAGACCGACAGAGTGGGGATAGCGGGCGTGCCGGAGGATGAGGAGGTGTGTAGGAAAGTGAGGCATTTGGAAGAGAGGTCAGCTGTTCACAGCCGCTGCAGCCACCCCTCCCCTCAGTATTTCAGTATCAAACCGGCTGTTTCGGTGGAAAGTCAGCACCCTCGCAAACACCTTCCCGTGGTAGACTTTGCCATAAGACGCGGCAATTCATGTAAGGCAGACCTACGATAAACAGGTGGGAGGTGTAGGCAGTAAGAGGTGGGGGAGGTCAATGATTGGCAATAAAGTTGCAGCTAAGCAGCATTTTTTCCTCTTCACAAATAGGTCGTTTTTGAAGACGTGAAACAAAGAAGGGGTAGAGGAGAGGTTGAAAAAAACAATAAAAGAGTGAAAAATACAAAAGAAATTAAAATAAACCGGGTAAAAAAGGGCGACAAAATTTATATATACTTTTTTTTCTGTTCCTCTTGTCGTCGGCATTAATTACAAGTGGGGGTGACGGCAGGACTTCCGCGAGGGAAAAAGCCTCCGCACGTCGTCTTTTTTTTTTTTCCGTCGTCAGCCTCACGATACAACAGGACCTCTCCGTAGTTCTTTTCCCCCTCAACGTTACCCCCCAGGAAAGCCTCTTCACTTGGAAGTCATCATCGTTACAAACTCTGAAAAGAGAGAAAAACACCAGAGTCAGTTGAATAAATTCCAAACCACGTCAAAAAACAAAACAGTTCAGGGGGGAGGTGGCTTTGAAAAAACAACTTTATTTGTTGACCTACAGCAATGAAATTTGGCATGCATACTCATAAGTGTCTAGAATAGGGAAATATACAGTTTCATCATGATAGCTTCAGTAGTTCTCAAGTTACATAATGCTACACGATCCAATTACATGGTCTGCTCGTGGAAAGCCTAGCGCTGCAACAAAACATGCCACGAAGCTGCGAATGATGTTGATCTTTACTCAAAAGAAAGCTACAGGGTATGACACTCTCGGAATTTTTTTAATAAGTTCTCGTTTTTTTTTAGAGATCATCATGGCTGCCGACACACATTGTCAGAAACAATGGCACGGACAAATCATCGTCTAGAAAAATAACAGGGCCACAAAACAGAAATTGAAGATTGCTGTACCCACAAGCAGTGTTCAGGGATTCAGAAAAAAAAAAACAATCAAAATCGGTCCAGTCATTCCCGTGCTACTCTTTCCACGAGCAATGCACAATGTCCAAAACACACTTGTGAGAAAAAGCCTGTCGAAGTTTTCGACAGGCTTTTTTTCAATGAACTTTTTTGTTTCTCGTTGGATATTGATGAAAACAATCAAAATCGGTCCAGTCATTCTCGTGCTACTCTTTCCACGAGCAATGCACAATGTCCAAAACACACTTGTGAGAAAAAGCCTGTCGAAGTTTTCGACAGGCTTTTTTTCAATGAACTTTTTTGTTTCTCGTTGGATATTGATGAAAATTGGCACAGACACTAAGAATAACCTCACAGTGCTTTCATAAAAATTTTGAAGCGATACCACAAATACTTTACGAGAAACAAATTATTTCTTCACTGAACCATGTGGAGGCGCTGAAGCATAATGTCAAAAAAAAAAAAAAAACAGTATTGAGAGAGCTGCGTTTAAAGTTTCAACTTTTCTTTACGTCTCCAAGACACCTAAAAATTGTGATCTCAGGTTTGTCTTGTGATATTTGACTTCTTTTCATGATTTACTCCTTTTCATGAGTTACAAAAAACAAGTATGAATTTCAAACCAAGTTCTTTGTATGAAGGAGTGGTGTGATAAGTATGACAGAAAAGATTGTAATTGAATAAAACCATATACTGAAATTATTAAACATACTTTTTTGTGCTGAAGTTGTAATTAGCGTAATTAAGTACTTGATTACAAATATTCATTGAACTTTTTTTTATTTGGAAAGAAGTTTATTGCATCAGAAAAATGGATCACACCATGACGGCCTATGCCTTCTTTCTAAATAACAAAGTTATGGGCAGAAGACTGGTGGCACGGGAATTTCTAGCAGTATAATTAATGACACGAAATGGGCATATAAAAATTCGTGCCCATGATTCACACATGCTCTTTCGCCGCTCTAGCCGTGAAACGCATTATCATACAGCCGGTCGCGGAAATTCTAATCTACAGCAATTCATTAACCTCGGAACATTCATAGACGTTCGTGGAGATATCAAGCACGGCTCCAAGCACGTCTAAATCGCATCGCAAAAGCTTACTGACGGCACTCCATATGACCGTGGGGTGCGCGGCCGCGTGGACAGTGCAGCCGGCGTGTAATGCACTTGCCGGCGGCGTTCGACGACGATCCGCGAAATGAGTAACTTTGAAGACAAAAAATCGCCACGCACTGCACTTGGCATCGCATTTTCGAATGACGACGCGCGAAACTGCTAGCCGCTGTTCCGAGCGATCCTTGGCAGTGAAGGTTGGGGGGGGGGGGGGGGGGTGACGAGCTTGACTGTGTTGTCCGCTGCTGATGCGTAAAATGCCCGTACAATATACAATATTCGGAGGAGCTAGCGAGTGATATGGTACATTCCTTGCGAAGAAACACGTCGCCACGAATGCGCTAGCGGGTCGTTCCTGCCCGCAGTCGGCGGAGTTAGGGCTAAAGACGACTTCAATGACGCGCGGCGCTCGTAGACCGCGCTGACGCTCGTAGTAACCTGATCGCGCATCCGCTTACTGCTCGTAACTAAAGCGTAGTTATATCTTAAGTGATTATCAAGCCGTGAACAAGTGGAGATTTTCGAGAGCCATGTCCTCGCGACGCACAAGCAGCAGACGATGATCTCCCGGAGCGAGCATCAGGCCAATGGCGAGGCGAGCTGAGGCAACATCGCGGCCACGGCCAATCAAGGGCCTCAAAACGACCTTCAAACATTTGCTTTTTGCTCGCTTGTTGTTAAAGGGCCAGCTGAGGCGCGAAAGTTGAACACGGAAAAATGCTCTTTCCAATGAGCCCAAGAAGCCGGCTCCCGGCCCAAGCATAGCGAAGCTATTATTTTTTGAAAATCGCCGTTTTCTCGCCATTTCCAGAAATATTTTTGCTACCTAGGTGGGTGAAACGAATTTTCCGAAGCACTTCTGCGCGGTTTTCAGTGTAGATATTTTGGAACCAGATAGAAAAAGGGTTCCAGAAACTGAAAACTTGAGTTTCAAAAAATCGATTTTTTTGCCATTTTTTGCGATCCCAAAGCCGCGTCCCCCCTTAAACTGAGCAGTAGAAAATGTTAGCACTCAAAATAGAAACACTAACAATGCGAGCTTTACAGTGAGTTGATATAGTCAAAGCAACATTGCACTCCAAGTTAAACCGGAGCACTTAAGAATGTCTACCACACAGCTATCCTTTTCCTAGATGCCTAGGTGCGTGCGCCCTCTTATAGCCAAAGGTCGCGAAATGCCCCTCTATGTCCAAGGCTATTCTCTGGCAATACCACTTGTTCCTGGACCCTCCCAAGACAGCAGAAGGCAGCACAAGAAAATGAAAAAGGCAGATTTGTTGCGATGGCACTTTTTCCAGTCACCATCATGTTCAGTATAAAACCCGCATTGACAAACATTGCCTCGCCTGTCATGTGTTTCTTGTGCGAGCGAAAACTTCGCGAATGCTCTAAATGGAGGTGGCTCTAGAAGAGGAAGTATGCTTGGCCAGCTCGGTCACGCAGACCGCAACTGCGTGCCTGTGCTATCCTCAGAGACATCAATAGATTACACCCAGTCTTGTACACGTGTTCTCAAAGCTTAGTTTGTATTGATACGAGTGACAGCAGGAAAAAATTTCGGATGAATATGATGCACACTGTAGAGAAATGCTCCCAAGTTTTGATCCCTTGGCATGCACATAGGCCTATACAGTAATACCCAGTTTGCCTCCGGTGATTTTTGAACACACCGTTTTGCTTTGTCAAATGCATACAAGCCCATGATGCAAACAAGAAGGAAGAAACACTTAAGAGGTGCAACTCTGCGCCTTAAGACGACCAGATAATGTTGCTATATTACAGGAGAACCATCTGTCAAATGGAGAAGAGACAGACCTCTTTGCTTATAGTGACACGCAAGCACAGTGGTGCAAAACAAAGCAAAAAACAGCGCAACCGTGCCCACCCACCAACGGCACGACATGCACCAGCAACGCGAGTCCACCCTCATCCAATGTTGCGTTTTTGTTGTCGGGTTTGTCGTAGCGAACTTCGTTAGGACACCTGCTGAAACTTGGTCAAGCATGAGCTGGAACATGGGAACTGAGCAGCTGGACAACACTTCGGCATTGTGCGCGTTTGTCACGGGAAAAAAACAAGAGCTTTGGGCAACAAAAAAGGTTCGTCACGTATTTCGTGGGCCAAAACAAGGTCAGTTTCTATATGTGTAGTTTTGAATAGAGGCTCCATATTCCTGCCAATGAAGTGAAGGCTAGCAAAAGGTTGGACAGCGACGTTCTTAACAAGGTCATGCGAAATTTTAGCTGTGATAACCCCCTTATATTGAATCCTCCCCCAAAGTGGCACCAACTTTACTGAAAAAAAGGTGGGCTCATTACAGGAACATACGGCATTCATGTGGTAAAACGCTTGTAGTTTACTTGATAGGCTCAATAATCCCAACACTGACTCATTCGGATAATTTTTCAGTGCTGTGAAATCCGAATGAAGGAGATTTAAACATACCATGTTTACACTATGATAGAGCATGATGTGATGACACTGTTGAAACTGCATAAGGCAACTGCCCATGGTGGTTTAAACACATTTTCAGGTTGTCTAAAATTACTGATGCATCTATAACAAACTCTACTATCCTAGTTGCTACAGGACTCAGCATTTAGAAACGAGTACATCCTAATATGGTAAAAAATATACAGGAAGTTCCATGAAAAAGTTTAAAGTGTAAAACATTAAGTGTCCGCTAGTTCTTATGTTTATCGTGTTTTGGCACCACTGTCTAAAAAAAAAATATATATTCTCAAACTTGGTATTCAAGTCTAAAGCTTTCTCAGAGGACCATGCATTTCATTTACGCAGATTAGGAAAGACAGACCCCAGTAGGTGACATCAAAGTATGCGATGTCACGGCAAATAGTATGAAAAATTCAAAGCGACGTCGCCACAGATTTATGGATGTGAAGCAGCTCAGGGTCGAGCTCAATCCGGTGTGCAGCGTTACCATCCTTACTACGCAGGAGTGTCTACTTCCCCTCTCTCGCCTCACAACGCCGACACAGGGAGCGTCTGCTAGAGAGTTTCTCGATTTAAAAAACTGACTGGTCGCACTGCACAACCGTTCACTGGCCACTAGATCTTGACCACCAAAGTAGTTTCGGTGGAGATTTCTCCTGTGTGTTCTTAAACAACAAGATTTGCAAGCGTGCACGCTAACTAAAAGCTGTCGTCAGGTCTCTGTCCAATCGCAGTCCTCCGTCTCTCATTGCCCATTAGCAGCAATTGGCATGTTCCAGAAGGAAACATGCCGCTTCATTACTGCCTGCCTTGTGCCACCCCAGGTTTCTCCCCTGCGCAACACCGCGATGAGCACCAGTGTCAACGCTGCCGCCAGTGTAAGGGTTATGGTGTAACTTTTGTTCTGCATGTTTTCTAGCTTACTGAGCACCTCTCAGCAAGCATGATGGTATTGTGAAAGAGTAGTTTACCAACACAAAAAATACCAATTAGATCTTTAGTGTCCTTTCAACAGTGCAACTTTCCCGAACAATCATTGCAATGAGTCAGCAGTGCACCAAACCGCAGCTCAACAGTGGCGACAACTCACCTTCATAGTTGACCTGTCCGTCACCGTCGATGTCGGCTTCGCGGATCATCTCGTCCACCTCCTCGTCGGTGAGCTTCTCGCCCAGGTTGGTCATGACGTGGCGTAGCTCGGCTGCCGAGATGAACCCGTTGCCATCCTTGTCGAAGACCCGGAACGCTTCGCGGATCTCCTCCTCACTGTCCGTGTCCTTCATTTTGCGCGCCATCATGGTCAGGAACTCGGGGAAGTCGATCGTCCCATTACCTGAGTGGTTAGATGGGAGCCAAGTTTACCATTTGGGCAAAGCACCCATGTGTCTTGCTGCCTACCTACTAGCATCGGCTCCTGTTTATGACTTAATCAGGATACATGCATCTAAAATGGAGAAATAGTGCAAGCTTCTACCACTAGACAACAGCTACTGAATGCTTCGTGCCAAACAACTTAATGCCATATTAACCTCCTCAGTGCTAAGGTATTGCAGTTGTTTACAATAACACGATGTAGTGGTGGCGGCCTCCGGACTAATTTTGCACACCTGGGTTTGTTCTTAACACGCACCTACATCTAAGCACACCGGCCATCTTTGCACTCGGCCTCAACCAATATGTAGCCACCATGGCTGAGAGTTGAACACATGCTTTTGGGCTCGTGCAAATGCCAACCATTTGAAGCGAGACAATTACTAGTAATATTACAGCGGGATTTTAAAGCAAACAGTGAAGACGCTATGAAGGATGAAAAGCGATGAACTATCCGAAACGCCCTGTCACGTGACTGTGCGTTAATGTAAACAGACATCAATTTATTGTTAGCACTGAAATAATGCGATTCTTTATAGCAAACAATAACATTATATAAAAATATACGCATGAGCTTGCGTTAGTAGTATGCATTAAAGTAGCGCTGCCTTTACGCGACGTAACGATCTGATATTTGTCAGCGCGCCTTGGGCGGCTTCAGCCTTCCGCATACTATTGCAACTGCGTACAGTTTATATCCATTGATTTCGTGCACCGACACGTAGTTTGCTCGGAACAACCAGTGCCACTAGCGCCAGTATCATTGCTACGATCAGTACCGCGCTGCTACTCGGTGCAGCCGTACATATGCGCAGCGACTTTTTCGGTGACTTGGCATGGCTCGTGTGTCGAGAGAGTAACTGACGACGGGACAAGCCATCCACCGACACAGGCGCAGCAACCTTGGGCGCAATGCGCTCACAGTGCAGGTACAAATGCAGGGAAGCTCTATAAAGCCGTGTTGTCTCGTAACGGCTCGATATTTTCAAACATAGTTGTAAAGCACAGAATAAATGTGGTTAAGAACAGTTCCAGGAACTCCTGCAAAATAAGAACGACAGCATGCACAAGTCCCCAGAAAGGCTACCGGCATCGCTATCAATTCTTAGCGTTGCTGGATGAAAGGGCAGATCTTTGTTGAGAGCCTTTCAGATTGTAAAGTACTGCTTATAAAATGACTCCGTGGTTTTGGGATTAACTATGCAGCTACGAACACTAAGAAGCGATAAACTTTCTGTCGCGCCGAAAAACTGTGTAGAAAAAAAAAAAAATCAGTTGTCTGTCCCTTTAAACTCAGTTTAACGGTCCTGAAGAGAGTTTCCACAAAGGCATGTTGGGTTCTGTGGCACAACAAATGTGACCAAATCCTTTTCCAACAATGTTTCAATGTACTATTTACGGATCTCGATAAGCAAATCAGTATTAGACTCCCAATATGGTGAAGACATTGTACATCACTTTCACCCATTCAGAGCCAGTTAGCTTTCACCCATTCAAGGTCAGTTAACACCGAGAAGGCTGCAAGGCAGCTGCATTAGGACTCTCACAGGGGCCACACAGAAATTTTTTAGCACAGTCAGAAAACACTGCCGATTGGTATTCAAGGCTCCTAAAAAGGTGCGTGCCAAACAGAGCAGTACGTTGCCTGGAATTTGCGGTTAATTCTCAGTCAGCCGGAAATAGTCTCCTCTTTCTACAAATCATGCCACATATCTAAATGAACGTGCCATATACTTGAATTCACGGCTACTATGTGATATGAGCTTAAGGAGCTGCATAGTGGCCGCAGTGGAAGGTCACCACATGTCTGCATGCTCGATCACACCAAGTCGCACGTTCGTAGGGGAAAAAAAGCGCTCAAGGTCATGACGTGTGCATTGCGAGACTTCTTTCCCTGTGCCGTCCCCCCCTGCTTAGCTTACAGCGCGCTTATTGCGACAAGTTAAGCGAGAAAGCAATTAGAGCACGCAACAAGTCCGCAAGTGCACTTTTGCTTGATGGATTCCAAAAGTCCTGGGTCAATTTGTGAGCGATAAACTTTTACTGAAGCCATTCGACAGTTACTTGGAAGAGTGTTGTGGGACCTTCTATCTATGCCTTGAAATTTCACTTCTTCACTTCACTTTATTTTTCTTAAAGACCCCTCAGGGGGGTGTTACATAAGGGGTGGGTTGTACAACAAAGATACAAAAGCCACAGGTTAACATTGCAGATGCATTGACACACTTTGAATAAAACGTGATGGACAGGTGATTGAAACAACATCGTGGGGAAGGTCATTCCATTCTTTGGCGGCGCGGCAGAGAAATGATGCAGAGGAAGACTTGAAGTGGATGGCCAGTGCGGGGAGAAATGCGTGCGGCGGGAGCGATGTAAGGTGGTTGGTGGAGTGAGCTGCGATACAACTTGTGGTACAGTGACAACGTAGCAAATTTGTGCAATTTGCAATGATAATGCAAACTAAGCATTTTTAATTCATGCTCATGAGCGATGTTTCCATCATAAGTGTGAATCCACTCTTAAATCCTGCAAGCTGAGAGCCGTGTCTGCCAGGCCAAGGAAACCTGTTACGAACGGGTGATGACAGTGGCTGTTTAGACAGCCATTACAAACAGATGTGTGGGGGTACATTCAAATATTACTTATTTCTGCGTTCCCATTAAGCAATTTCTTTACATGCCAGTTTCGCCACTGCATTATGCTAGTTCTTCGATCAAAACGAGCGATGCGGTGCTGCCAATTGTGGGTTACACAAGCATGTAGGCCTAGCCTTGCAATCCATGCACCAAAAAGACATTCTGCAACGCAACTGGAATATACTTCAGGCATTTTTGCACTAGGGGAGCTAGGTTGTAAGCATTCTGCGATAGAAGGAAACACTTCCCAAAAGGGTGAGAAGATTCAGAATGTTTTCAACGCACATAAAAAAAGAATAGAATAATCGTGGCTGAACATCAATATTAGCAGGCATCATTTTTCAAAGCTTCAAATTGAAGAGTGTTATGAAGAGTGTTATTTGTGTTAACGTCTCTATTCAGTGCAACCTGGTGCTGCAAAATCCGGAGACATTTGGTAATCGGAAGCTGGTAGCAATTTTCGTGAACTATCGGCATGCAAGTGGAGTGAGCCAGACAAAAAGCAGGCCAATTTGATTCTACAGCATAAGCACTTACGTTGTGACACAAAGTCATACTACGACAGTTATATAACCGTTCTCGTTCTATCAGATGGAATGGTGCCTTCATCTGCCGTTTGCAGTTGCTGTTCCGCGTGTTCGACAGTCACAAGCCTTGGCCACTAGGGACATTTCGTTGCAATTGATAAGTGCACACGTGCAAGGATTCTGAATCCAGGATTTTTCTGCATGGGGGGGGGGGGGGGGGGGTCACACTGAATTATTTGCTCCTATCTTGGCACCAACAGAAAAAAAAAAAAACATAGCTAAAAACAACACTGGCATTGCTGTTGCGGACTTATAATGGCTTGGAGTGGCTGAACACACGAGGGTAGGGTTTCCCACTAAGGCGAAAGTGTCAAAGTGGGAGCGCAAATACTCCCAAAATTTCGAGCCGTAAAAACAACTAGCAAAATCTATTTCCGTCAAAGCAAGTCCCGTATACCTCCCTGGGACACACCTGAACCAAAGGGACGGCGTAGTTGGCTGCCACGAAAGCACGGGTCAAAGCTTTGCTCGCTACTAAATTATTTTGACAGGAACCCCAAAACGCATCTAGCCTTTTTTAAGTCTTTAGTGCTTCTAATCTAGCGCTGCCTCAGCCGCGTGCCCTCGAAGCTCACAGATTGCTATCGCGCCGTCACGACCATGCTGTTTGTGTACGGTTGTGGCAACTACAGCCACACGCACTGTAGAAAACTGCGTACGCTCGTAGCACGCGTTCTTCCGAAGCTTGAAGCATGCTGCTCTAAGCCTTCGTTCAATGGTTTCTGTACTGAAGTTCATATCACCGGCCACGATTAGGAAAAGTGTTCGGAACATTTGAGTCCTTGCCCAATGAACACAGAGACATTTAACTGGGGCACTTCACGAATTTGTATCTGCCGCGATGAACGCCTCTCAAACTCGTTTATAATAAAGTGCAGTGGGTTTGCCAAAATCAGCCACATGATGCACAGAAATTAAGATTTCCGGAACATTCATGACAACCGTGCAAACGAAAGAAATGGTCAAAATCCAGGAGACTTTGCAGGTATGCAGAATGCGCACAAAATAGCTCCCCAGAACGACACGATGCCAATTTTGCATTGAAAGAGTGTCCTTTTGTTTGTTGATGCCAATTGTTTGTTGATTGTTAGAGGAAGATGATTGCCTTCTCATGCACCCAGTCTTTCATTGGCCAATTCTCTAGTCCCATCATCTCTAGCATCAACGAATTTATTCGTCGCCAGCGTGACAGCATTCCCCCGTGTTTTGAATGGGGAATATAACTACTGAAGTTTTCAAACAGAGTTTTAGAAGTAGGTTTTGCAAGCATCGTGAATTCCCAACTGTCTTATTAGCCTTTTCATATTTCCAGAAGGAATGGGTGAATCATGATGCGCTGACGTTGCGGGAAGCATCCAACATGCTGCACGAATGTCACAGCTGTGTTGCGGTGGTGTACGTCTTTTCCACAGACGCACATTTCAGCTGACCAAGGGACTCCCTTTACTGTGCCGGCAACAGCAAGGCTGGGATGCTTTAGCCCGTTGTCGATTAAAACCAGTACATTGCACTGCCTTGTGGCTCCCAACAGTCGTCGTTTCTACAGATTTGCGATTAAATAGGAATCAGGAATCGGCAAATGGCTTTAAAGCTGGCACTAACCACTGCTTAATTTATCTACTCTAACTTGCACTGCTAAATTTGATAATGCAGAAGGCCTTCGAATTAAGTGATATTTCCAAATATCCAAGTTTGAATTATTGAGGTCTTACTGCAGTTTTTAAGCTCAGGGCCAAACA